ATTGTGGTGGTGTATAGAGCCAAAGATGTTAGAATTGCGTCGATGTCCCAATATTTCTGGACCTGACTGTACTTTGTTTATTTTAATTGTGGATACTGAAGTTTAAGTGTTTTTAATTTGAGATAGTCTTCATGCAACATTTCTGTTCTCTGCTTTTATATATGCCATAGCTTTAAATTCACTGTGCCAGCAAATGTACCCATTATTATCATTTACCGTATGTCTGTATATCACTTGTCAGCTTTTAAGGAGAGAAAGCATGAGTGATAGCTTTTGAAGTGTTTCAGAGAAAAATATATATAGCTTGTGCATATATAAAAAATTAGGCATTGTAAAAGGTGCTCTTAGTTACCTCCCCCCCTCTAAAAAAATGGATATATAGGATATTTGGAGCTGGGCACAAACATTTGTTTTCGGCTAACAAATCAGATGCAGGTAGTTCTTGACTTATGACTACAATTGGGACCAGAACGTCTGTTGCTAAGTGAGGTGGTCATTAAGTGAGTCATGCCCGATTTTATGACCTTTTTTGCCACAGTCATTAAGCGAATCATTGTGATCATTAAGTGAATCACATGGTTGTTAAACAAATTCGCTTCCCCCATTGACTTTGTTCTTTGAAAGCTGGCTGGGAAGGTTGCAAATGGCAATCATGTGACCCTGGGACACTGCAACCATCATAAATACATGCTGGTTGCCAAGTGCATGAATTTTGATCACATGACTGCAGGGATGCTCTGATGGTCATAAGTGTGAGGACTGTTTGTAAGTCACTTTCAGTGCCATTGTAACTTCGAATGGTTGCTATACAAATGGTCATAAATTGAGGACTACCTGTAATACATTTCAAACTACCAACATTGATGAAACTTTGAGAGTCATTGGCTAGATTTACACATGCTAAGCCATAGTTCATTAAATGATGGTTGACTAAGACACACATGGTTTTACACACCTTACAAAACCGTACGCCATATTTACAAGCCACAATGTTCACATGCTGCTCAAACATAAATAAGCTACATTAAATTTGGTACAATGTATGAACTCAGCCCCTTAATTGCTTGGTTGAATACCACTGTTGCTGAAAACCAGAAATACCACTCCACCCTACAAAAATGATGCCCACAAAATACCCTTAGTTAAAGAGAAGATGGTTCAAGAATACCCTAATTTGGCAGTCTGTGAAGAGGAAGCTAATCTATACCTACTAAGACAAGACAGGCTTAAATACCATCACTTTGGGGTCTGGGGCTTGGAGTTCGGAGGCATGCAGACCTGAAACTATTTGCTGGCTAGGCCAGTATCTGGAAGACACCAGAGCAATTTCCTGCCTCATCTGAACAGTATGGTTCGGGATGTATGGATCCTTTAACAAAAATACTTTGAATGGCACGTGAAATGTATTAGCAATGTTACCAAGAGGGTACATGTGAAAAAAATACCTTTTATTGGGAGCCCAATTCTGGAGAAGATAATGGATGTGTTTTTTTAATTGGAAGGAGAGGAGCAATCATCACCCATCACAGGAAAACCAATAGATTTCCACCTCTTGGGGAAAAAGCCCATTTTGCAATGATGTAGCCAATTTTTACAATCAACAGTGAACTTAATGGATGCCCACATGCCCACACTCCCCAAACCTTGTATTTGCCCAGTCCTATGGCTGTGTGCCTGCATATTACAAACAGTAACATCAATACAGTGAGATGGATTAAAGAACAATATAAGATGGTTTCATGGAGTCACTCCAAATTTAATAATTTCAACAGGCATTGTTGATAGATAAATCTATCCCAGCCCCCCCCCCCCCCA